TCATCAGGAAGGAACCCCCTCTCTTGAGAAAGGTCAGAGGTGTCCATGCAGAGCTCACTGCAGCCAGGACAGTCCTCCCTGCTCTTTCCCACTCAGAAGGAGCAGGAAAATCACTGGACTCAGGGGATGATGATGCAATGAGTCTCCTGACATTAAACCCTGGAAGCCATCCTGCCCCATCCCCGCCCTCTCCGCGCCCGGGTGCTCTTGGGACTTCCTTCTCCCCCTCTGTATCTTCTCCCTCTCAAGGTCCAGCCTGGGGCCCCAGCCCTGCCTTCTCCCGCGGGCCCACCGAGCAGCCCCTCCGGGTTCCTGGAGCCCTGTCTTGTCGTCACTCCTTTTGGCATGGAATTCCTCACCGTGGGTTTTTGCTCAAGCACCACTGGGCCGCTGTGTTCTGGAGAGTGAGAAAAGTCTAGGGCAATCTTGTTATGAGAAGCCTGTTTCTGGAGAAAAAGTGACCCTTTCCAATGGGGCAGTCTCATCTTTTTGTTTTGTGGAAAACAATATGAAGAGCTCAATTTCAGGCTCACGGAATTCTATGCAATACAAAGCATTTCACGTGATGTTTATGATCCAGAGGGTTCCTCAAGCCATAATATGCCTCATTTTTCATCTACATTTTCTTAAGCAAGAATCCTGTTTTCTTCCAAAGGACCTCAGAAGGCAGCAGAAACCTGTATCACCCGCGAGGTTAAGCAGGGAATCGGGTGGGTTGATTTTGGTCATGAGACTGAGTAAATCTTTCCCAGCCTTGCAATCCACTGCCTGTCATGTCTTCCTCCCAGGAAGAGGCCACGTGCTTGCCTGATGCTCAGTCCCTGAAGAAGCCCCTTTTCTCATTTTACATGGCACACCTTGCCCACCACGCAGAAGCCGTGAAGGGTGGTGAAGGGAGGCAGACTTTCCACATTCTTGGGAACATTCTCTCCAGTGAATCATGACACTCTAGTACAGAAGGTTGGAATGAAGTTTCCATGACTCTGCATGGAGCATCCTCCTTTCTCAGATTCCTATCAGAACTGGCTGGGCGGTGGCTGCAGGTTCCTGGGAAATTTCACAGTAGGGGTGGAGCCCCAGGACCCCAGGGCAGGAGGCTGCTACTGTCCCTGGTCCTGGCCTTGCTGACACTGGAGGGTGTTGGAAGGGCCTGGGCAGATGGAAAGAAGCTCCCACTGAAGCCCACATGAGGCCTTGCAAAGAAAGGCTGGGAAGAGGGAGTGGTCGCCAGGGGGTGACCTCAAAGTCAGTTGCTGGCTGTAAATGAGTATTGCTGGGTGGGATAAGGCCATCTGAAACAAAGCTGCCTGCTCTATGATTCCAGGTGTAGACAACTCTGGACAAGAAAACTCCAGAGACAGTGAACAGGACTGTTGTTGCCTGGGTTTCTGGCAAAGGGGAGGGGGATCGTCGGGGAAGCACAGGGAGTGTTTGGGACATGCAGCTCCTTCCTTGGCGTGGTGAGAGGCATTTGGAGTTTGTCACAACCCATAGAGGGCAAATCACACTAAACCTCAATGCAAACTCCTGACTTCAGTTCCTAAGAATGCAGCAATATTGGTTTAGTCATTTTACACATGGACCACACCATTCAAAAATGGGGTTTAAAAAAGTGTGGACAAAGGGTCTGGCAGCTTTTTGTACTGTCTGCTCCATTTCTATGTTAATTTCAAACAGTTTCTACAGTGACTAATTTTGTCATGGATTGCAACACTATTTCAGGAAGAGGCTCACCTGAGCGGATGTTTCAGACTCAGCTCTATGTGTCAACAGGAGTTTGAGATGTTGCTTTCTAGTAAAAGAGTAGCAAACCTTAAATTACAAATCATCGTTATTTCTCTAGTTGTAGGAATAGCAATGACTTGATTTTAAATGTGTGCAGATGAACTGAAAGAAGACTAGAGTATAACAATGTTAGAGTTCTGACTTCAGTATGGGGCACTGAACCCACTGGAATCGTGATGATTGAATGAACTTCACTGACTTCCCACAGGACCTTCAATTGATGGTTTTCTGGGAGGGACTCAGCTGTGTGGCCAGTTGTAGGTTTTTCTGACTCACTGCACGGGGCAAGAATAGACGGTGCCGACTCCTGGGGAACTACTATCAGATCCTGGAGGCCACATCCTCCCAAATGTATGACGATAAAGACAGCTGTTGCTGGGCGCGGTGGCTCAAGCCTGTAATCCCAGCACTTTGGGAGGCCGAGGCGGGTGGATCACGAGGTCAAGAGATCGAGACCATCCTGGTCAACACGGTGAAACCCCGTCTCTACTAAAAATACAAAAAATTAGCTGGGCATGGTGGCGCGTGCCTATAATTCCAGCTACTCAGGAGGCTGAGGCAGGAGAATTGCCTGAACTCAGGAGGCGGAGGTTGCGGTGAGCCGAGATCGCGCCATTGCACTCCAGCCTGGGTAACAAGAGCGAAACTCCGTCTCAAAAAAAAAAAAAAAAAAAAAAAAAAAAAAAAAAAAAAAGACAGCTGTTGACATCTTGTTGGCAGGATTTATACAGAGATTCACACCAATTAATCTGCACTTGAAGCCGTTGATTCCCTTGGGATTTTGCAAGACGTGGCTGAGCCCAGAGAAGAGCTCATCTCAGACGACGTTTCACACTGAATGTGGAACGTTACATTGAGATGGGGCTTTCTGGGAAAACTGTCCCAGCTTTACACAGTACATATATCCTCCTTCTCTAGTTGTAAGACTAGCGATTGACTTAGTAATTTTGAATTAGCACAGATGAACTCAAAGAAGACCATAGCATAACAGTGTTAGAGTTTTGCCTTAAATATGAGACGCCGAACCAACCAGAATCATGATGACTGAATAAGCTGAACTGGTTTTCCACAGTACCTTCCACTGATGGCTTTTTCACCTGCACAGAATGGTGCGGCCAGTTGTGAACTTTTCTGACAAAAAATGGGGCCAGCAATAGTGTGCCAACTGCTCAGGAACTACTTTCCGATCCTGGAGTGAATCGTCTCCCAAATTATTACAAGAAAGACAACTTGCTGGCAGAATACCATAGAGAAATTTACAGTAATTGACTCACAGTTGAAACTTCTGATCCTTTTTCACCATCTGCATAGGAATCCACCTGCGTCCGAGTCGGGCTCCGGGAACCCCCTGCAGCGTGTGTTGCACTTAGAACTCTGCAGACTGTGTAGACGAATCCCTGCCTGCAGAGGGGATGAGAAAGACAGGCAGCAGACCCCAGTGACCAAGGACACAGTGCGTGGAGCCTCACTGTCTGGGTTCCAGTCCTGCTGAGGAGCCGTCTACTGGGAATGTTGCGTAGACCTGTCCGTGCCTCAGTTCTCTGTTCTGACATGTTCAACCATGATTACGGTGGCTGTTTTCTTATGAGGCTAAACGTGATTGAACTCAGGTAGAGCCTTGAGAAGACGGGGCTTCCTAAGGGCCCTAATGCGCTCAGTCATTAACTGCTTAGGAGAACAGGCCAGACTCTTCCCAGTGGTTGAATATAGACAGAGAGCTCGCATGGCTTTAGGAAAATGAAATGGAGCAGCTCACATTATTCACAACAGGTGGTGATCCTTTTCCTCTCATGAAACACATCTTAGCCGGGCGCCCGTGGCTCACACTATAATATCTTGGAAGATGTGGTTGACCCCAGAGAGAACCTCAAATCCTAACACAGCCTCCTTCCTCCAAGTTTTCATCCCTGACCCAAAATATGACCGTTTCCTCCTAACCAAGACTTGGTGAAGGACAAGTTCAATAGTGTGAGCTCCTCCCCCAGCATCTTCACACTGTCACGGCCTCGTGGTGAGCCTTCCTGGCCAGTTGGCTACTCTAAGTGACCAGTGATCCGCTTGGCTCTCAAGCTGGCTCAGGACTCAGGACATTCAAACCAACTGCCACAGGATGGCTGAGCCAGGAATGAACTTCCCTTCCACTGACTCGGCCTGGATGAGCGTGAAAGGGAATGAAGTGGGGATGGGGGCATCTGGCAGGTGCTTCAGCGGATGAATGAGTGGAGATAGTGACCCCCACTGTCTCACTGACCACGCTTTCCGTAGCAATGTGATCAGGGTGATCTCAGGCCTGCCTAAGAAGCGACAGTGGCTGCACCTTCACAGAGCGGGCACCTTCCTGCTCACATCCCTCCTCACCAAGACTCAGTTTCTACAAACTCCTCCTGCCTCCCTAGACCCTGCAAGGGTGGAGGAGAGTCTCTCTCCAAATTGTGGAGAAAAAGCCATTATTTCCATGTTTCAAGCTCATTGTTCTACAATTCTGTCAACCTTAAGGAGAAATCTTCCTCATCCATTCCTTCCGTGTGTAGGGGAAGGATTCTAATAAATCGGACTTTGGTTCTGTGTTTGCGGGTCGTGGGCCGTAGCGCCATGCTTGGCCAGCTTTGGGAATCACAGTACACGCGTGTCTCAGGCGGGCGTGGGAATGGTATTAAAGTGGGTACCCTAGTTGGAACCACAGATGGAATTGGGAAGCAGATGTTCCCTAATTGCAAGGAGAGGGGAGGAAGTGCTGTCATCTGAGGACAGGAACGTGGGCAACCCGAACAGCGCCCGCCTGGACTGGGCCTCCAGCATTCTCCATCTTCCCATTTCCCCAAGATGGGAATCGCGGGGGACGCTGTGTTCAACTCTCTCAAACTGCCAACTGCTAATGCAAACTCTTCCACTCACAGGGTGACGGGCGGAGTAAAAGGCCATACGCCAATCAGCGCATGGCCTTGGTGACAGGTCACCACGGGATTATCAAATACACAACACAGCCTCACTCTGGGTTTCCACCATTGCTATCCAGACATGCCTATTTTCACATGTACAAGGGTGTGATTTCTGAGCACCTGTTTTGTTTCTAAACAAAATCACTTCCTCCACATTATTATATTCTGTTAAAAAAAAAGTTTTAGGAGTAAAGGGACTGGCCCCATCCTATAGAGTTGATAGAGTGGACACACAAAGTGAACATTTGAGAATAAGAAGTTTCTTCTAGTTTTTATCGTTAGATGGGAAGTGTGTTGATGTTGTTAGATCACGGAGAAGGCACATCTCACATGTGCCTGTCAACATGCAATCATCACGGTGAGGCGCTACAGAAGGATCTGACATTCCATTCTTCATTAGAAAAGCCAAGCCCACGCATTTCTGTTGCTCCTGAGTGACCAGACACTTCTAGATGTGCTACTTTCACAATTTCTTGATTGAATTAAAACACATGGTGGAAATACAATTTAAGAGATTCAGTGTCCCTCACTGAGAAACATTGTGAAATGATTCAAATGGTTCTCTCATTACCTTTTGTGTACCTGCTACTAAGACTTCACACTTAGTTATGTCTTTGTCTTTGTGACTTCACTGAGCAATTTCACATGGTTGCAGAGGGTGGGATGATAGATAATGGGTACTTGGAAAAGTGAGGGGGTGGGAGGGAAACGATGATGGGGAATTGGTTAATAAATTCAATGTTCATTACTCAGGTGATGGTTACCCTAAATGTTCTGACTTAACCACTGCACAATCTGATTGCAACAAAATTGCACATGTATCCCATACATTTATGCAAATAAAAAGGAAAAAGTAAATAAATGGCACTCACACAAGGTCCATCCTGGGAGGATGATGGACACTGGCTCCAGGAAGGTTTCCTCTGAGTCCTACAATCTCCTCTTAGATCACAGCGAATGCATCCCAATCTGGAGGAGGATGAGCTGGCGGACGGCCCTGGAGTTCTGTAACCAGCAGAACCCTCGACAGGGTACTGGGAGGCCATAGAGTTGAGGTTTCCTCTCTCTGTGCCCAGAGAGATAGAGTTGCTAGGGTCAGAACCTGGCCTGGACTTGCACCTAAGGGCAGCCTTTCTTTCAGTGGTCTTGGGCCCCCCAGGTAGAATGACAGGTTTCTGCTTCAGTGATTCACCAGAGATGTAACCGAAAAGAGGGGTAACAGTGCCTCCAAAGAGACACTGTTTCCAGCACTGGGTCCCTGGGTCACCATGGCGTCCTCTGGCTAGGGGAGCCGCACCTGTTCAGGCCGAAGCTTCCCCCCATAGGTTGTGAGGTTCTCAGGCCTCTCTCCTTCCTGCTGTGCTGCCGAGTGATACAAAGTTGGAACTCAGATCTGGGGTCTCCTCTCTGCTCCCAGAGCCCACGGGTGCCGCTGAAACTGCCAACCTCAGGGAGCTGAGCTTGTGCTGCCCAATGTGGAGCAGGGCTGCTCAATGTGGGGCCAAACCCCGTTCCCGGTGCTGGGGGTGTCGAGGCAGCTGCAGAGCCAGAGGCAGTGGGTGTCCCCGGGGGATGAAGGAGGCACAGCAGAGACCTTCTGGGTGCTAGTGTGGGTGAAGAAGATGGAATTTGTAGATGATGAACCTGCAAAGCTGAGTGTGCTGGGCTGCCCCTGGCAGGTGGGGCCTGGAGTGGAGGTTGCGGCTGGAGCTGGAGCTGGAGCTGGAGCTACCAGATCTCCAAACCAGAAATAGCGGTCAGAGGCAGGGGCTGCAAGCTGCTGTCCATCAGGGACTCCCAGTACTGGCTGGGTGGTGGCTGAAGGGTTACTGGGAAATTGTAAAGTTGGGGTGGAGCTGCAAGACCTCATTGCAGGAGGCTCGTGGTGTCCCCGGTGGAGGCCTTGCTGCCCCTGGGGTACAACTGAAGGGCCTGGGCAGATGGAAAGAGGCTCCCACAGGAGCCACCATGAGGCCTTGTAAGGAAGGGTGTGAAGGGGGAGTGGTGTCCATGGGCGGGACTCAAAGTCAGCTGCTGGCAGTCCACGTGTATTGCTCAGTGAGACAGTCAGTCTGAAGAAGCTGTCTACTCCATGATTCCAGCTGTATAAAATTTTGAGAAAGAAAAGTATAGAGACAGTAAATAGGGCAGTTTTGTCTTACAAATGGGACACTGATCGAAGTCTAATCATGACGATTGAAAGCGCTCCACTGACTTTCCACAGTACCTTCAACTTGCTGCTTTTCTGGATGAACTTGGTGGTGCGGCCACTTGTAGATTTTTCTGACCCACTGCGTTGGTCCAGCAGGAGAATTCCCTGTGCTGAGTTTTCAGGTACCACTGTCAGATCCTGGATGCAACATGCTTTCAAGTGTATTACAAGGAAGACCACTGGTAATATGTGGCTGGCAGAATTCCATAGGGAATTCTTACTAATTTATTCACAGTTCAAACTCTGGAACACTGTTTAAGTAACTCCATGGGAAGCACCTGAATCTGAATTGGGTTCTAGGAAGAGCTTGCCATTTGGTTGCACTTAGAACCCAACAGACTGATGTGTGGGCAAATGCCTGCTTTATATGAGGCAATAGAGAGAGACAGCATATCCTAGTGAGCAAGGGCACAGCGCCTGGAGCCTCCCTGGCTGGGTTCAAATCCTACTGAGGAGCTCTAGGTACCTGGGCATGTTCTAAAGACCTCTCTAAGCCTTGGTGCCTGGTTCTGAGAGGTTTAAAAGTTAATATGGTCTCTGTTATGCTTTAAGGCTCAAAATGATTGAATTCAGGTAAAGCTTTCAGTAGATTAATTCCTTCTAAGTGCGCTAAAGTATTCACTCATTAAATGTCCCAAAGAACAAGCCAGACTCTTGGCAGAGGTTGAACGCAGACAGGGAGCTTGCATGGCTTCAGGGAAGTGAAAGATAGAGAGACTCCCTTCATTCTTTATGTGGGGTGATCCTTTCCCTCTTTCGGAACATATCTGGCCAGGTGCACATGGCTCACACCTATAACATCTTGGAAGATGTGATTGATCCCAGAGAGCCTCAAACCCTAACCCAGCCTCCTTCCTCCAGGTTTTCATCCCTGACCCATAGTCTGAGAGTTTCCTCCTAACCAAGGCTCTGTGAAGGTCAAGTTCAAATGGTGTGACCTCCTCCCTCAGCATCTTCACATTGTGGGCGGTCTCGAGCTGAGCCTTCCAGCCAGTTGACTACTCCAAGTGCCCAGTGGAGAGCCTGGTTCCCAAGCTGCCTCAGGACTCAGGACATTCAAACTAATGAGCACAGGATGGCTGGGCAAGAAATGAACTTCTCTTCCACTGACACAGCCTGGATGAGCATGAATGGGAATGAAGTGGGGATGGGGGCATCTGGCAGGTGCTTCAGTGGATGAATGAGTGGAGAGAGTGACCCCCACTGTCTCACTGACCATACTTTCCATAGCAATGCGATCAGGGTGAACTCAGGCCTGATAGGAAGGGGCAGTGGCTGCACCTGCACAGAGCGGGCCCCTTCCTGCTCACATCCTTCCTCACCACGACTCAGTTTCTACAAACTCCTCATGCCTCCCTAGGCCCATAAGGGTGGGGGAGAGTCTCTCTCCTCTTAGAGGAACCTGTCTGTCCACAGCATTTCAGATTTTCCATCTTGGAGGACGCTAAGCAGAAGTCTTTCAAACTGCCAACTGCTGACGCGAACTCTTCCACTCACAAGGTGACAGCTGAAATGGAAGGAAGATGCTGATTAGCACATGCCCGTGGGAACAGGTCATCGTGAAGTCTTCAAGTGAACAACCGCCTCACTCTGGGTTCCCACGGCTCCCATTTAAACGTGCTTTTTTGCGTGTGTGTCCAAGAGTGTGATTTCTGACCTTCCCTTTTGTTTCAAAAACAGGATCACCCCCTCCACATGGTTATATTCTGTTTCTAAAAACAAGTTACAGAAGAAAAGGGACCTGCCCCGTCATATAGTTGATAGCGTGGACACACAACATGAGAATAAAAGGTTCCTTCCATTCTTTATTGTTAGGCCAGTAATGTGCTGCATTTGTAACAAGCTTCTGGGAAGGCACTTGCCACACATGCCCGTGAAAACCCAATCATCATGCTTGCGAACTACAGCGGGATCTGAAGTTCCATGCCTGCTGTGACATGCTAGGTCAATGTATTTCTGCTATTTCAGAGTCACCAGATGGTTCCAGATCCTGCTATAACGATTGTTTGACACAGTAGTAAACATCACATTGTACAAACTGAATTTTAAAAATTCATTGTCTCTCAGTAGGTAACATTGCCAAACTATAGAAATTGTTCTTTTATCAACCACATATTTTACCTTTCCCCTGCCTGCCATTGAGTCTATGGACTCAACTGTCGTCTCTCAACCTCTGTGAGTTCCTCAGAAATTTCAAATGTTTGGAGACAGTGGGATGGTAGATAAGAAGACTGGGAAGTGTGAGGGGTAGGACGGAAAGGATGATGGAGAATTGTTTAATAAATTCAATGTTCATTACACTGGTCATGGATACCACTTCACAATCCGTGCATGTTACAAAATTTCACAGGTATCCCACAAATTTGTAGAAATAAAATGGAAAACAGTTAGCACTTACACCAGGTCCATCCTGGGAGGATGACGGACACTGGCTCCAGGAAGGTTTCCTCTCAGTCCCGCATTTCCCTCTTGGTCCCAAAGGGAATGATGGATCCCAATCTGGAGGAGGATGAGCTGTTCCCAATCTGGAGTTCTGTGACCAGCAGAACCCTCAACAGGGTACTAGGAGGCTGTAGAGTTAAGGTTTCTCCTCTTTGAGCCCAGAGAGAAGCAGGGTTGCTGGGGTCAGAACCTGGCCTGGACTTGCACTTAGAGGCGGTCCTGGGCCTCCGAGTTAGAATTAGAGGTCTCTGCTTGGGTGATTCTCCGGGGAGGTGACTCAAAGGAGGGGCCAGAGTTCCTCCAAAGAGACACTTGTTTCCAGCACTAGGTCCCTGGGTCTCCATGGAGTCCTCTGGCTAGGGGAGCCCCTCCTGTTCAGGCTGAAGCTCCCCCCAGAGGGTGGGGTGCTTAGTCCTCACTCCTTCCTGCTGAGCCGCTGAGTGACACAAAGTTGGAACTCAGATCTGGAGTAGCCTCTCTGCTCCCAGAGCCCATGGGTGCCGCTGAAACTGCCAACTTCTAGGGGCTGGGCTTGTGTTTCCCTATGTGGGGCAGAGCTGCTCAATGTGGGGCCAAACCCCGTTCCCAGTGCTGGGGGTGTCGGAGGCAGCTGCAGAGCCAGAGGTAGCAGGTGCCCCCAGGAGACGAAGGAAGGACAGCAGAGACCATCTGGGTGCCAGTGGGGGTGTCCAAGATGAAACTTGTCAGTGAGGAACCTTCAAAGCTGAGTGTGTTGGGCTGCCCTGGCAGGTGGGGCCTGCAGCAGAGGTCGGGGCTGGAGCTGGGGCTGGAGCTGCACTATCAGATCTCAAACCGGAAGCCGCGGTCAGAGGTGGGAGCTGCATGCTGCTGTCCATCAGGGACTCCCAGTACTGGCGGGGTGGTGACTGAAGGGTTACTGGGAAATTTCAAAGTTGGAATGTAGCTTTAAAACCTCGGTGCAGGAGGCTGTTAGCAGCGCGGAGCCAGGAGGGGGCCTCATCAGGAGAGGCTGGGGTGGGGGAGTGGTGTCCATGGGGGTGACCTCAAAGTCAGTCTCTGCCTAAGGACCCACCGTGCAGATGTGCTGGCTGAGTGGCTGCAAGCAGCTGCAGATGCACGGATTGGCAGGCCAGAGGAGAGAGAGGAACGAGGCTGAGTAGAGGCAGGGAGTCTCTGAGTGGAGGAGGTGGAGAATCCACAGGCCAGGGGCATGGGGATCGCATTCTGGTGGAGCAGGGAGTTGGGGCGAGGGAGGCAGAACCGGCACCTGCTGCAGCTGGGCTGAGACCAGGGGATGGGAAGGGCCTCCGTCCTCCCGGTTGACAGGGGCCTGGGGTGGGCTTCGGTGTGAGTGGAGAGGGGCTGCACAGCTGCAGGAGCAGGAGAGGCAGGGCCTGGGCTTCTCATGCTTCTGTCCACGTGGGATCTCAGCTTGCAGCTCAGCCAAGAGCAGAAGTGTACGGATTTGGGGGCCTAGGAGACAGGTTGGCTCTTAGTGCCTGAAAATAGAACAGAGCAGGGATCAGCCAGGTGATTGGGGCCGAGAGCAGGGTATACAAAGACGAGGCCAGAAGATTCCCTGAGGAGGGGCCTGGTGAGCTGTGCTTCCTCTCAGATGCAGGAGGCATGGAGGTGGTCACTGCAGCAGATGCCAGGAGGGACCCTGGGCCCAGGGAGTCCTGTGGCCTATCTCTCTCCTGCTGTGCAGCCATGCTGGGGGCTGAGGGGCAGCGGCGGAGAAGCAGTCCCTGAAGCGGGGAGGGGGGAAGCGTGGGAAGACTGTGAGGCTCTGCTGTCTCAGATGACCTTGGCCTCACCCCAAAGGGCATTGTTTGTTCTTTATTTCACTGGAGCTCTTCCTTCTCCTCCTCCTCCTCCAGGTTTTCAGAAACCCAGGGGAGAGGTGGTGACAGCATCGAGCGCGGCTCCCTTCACTTGCACGGCAGCAGAGGAGTCTTGGATTCACAAGAAATGTGGGATGGGAGGGAGCCTGCCCGGGGGTCAGTTTCTGCCCTGATATTGTATCCACCGCTTTTCACTCTTGAGTCTTCCTCTTAGAAAGTTCTGAGGCTGCAGAGGGAGACCAAGGGTCCTCCTCGTTCAGTTTCTTTGAGGACCCAGGGGCTGCTGGGAGCTGGGTAAAACTCGCCCCCTCCTCCTCGTTAGCAGTGGGAAACCTCCCAGGCTCGGTAGGAGCTGGAGTTAGCATTTTGTTTAGGGCAGGAGCCCACCCAGGAGGCCTGGGATTTTCTTGTTGGATCTGACTTCTCACTTGTAGCCAGGGAGCTTTCTCTGCAGAGTGCCAGGCAGTTGAAGAAACAAACAGAGACTCCATTGACCCTCAAGTGCTTAAATGGGGTCTGTGCACTCCCAGTGCCGGCAGGAAGCCTTCTCTGATGGTCTGTGTCCTTGTCCTGCTCAGGGGTCTGGCTCTTGTTCTCCCTCAGGGCCCTGAACAGGATCCTCTCTGGGCAGAGACTCTTGGGCACATCTGGATGTTGTGGGTCCCAAAGGGGCGGCTTCCTGGTCCTGGGCCCCACGGAGTCACTTTGCTCAGTGTACTGGCTGAGCTGCAGGACATCTCAGAATTGGGAACACACATCACCCACCTCTCCTGATGGTGACGGCTACAGATGGAAGTCAAGACCCCCAGGAAGGAGCACAGGGTCGGCAGGATGATGGAATATGGTTTTGAGATGTTTGTACAAGTCACATGGTACTGTCAGTCCCGGCGCAGACACAGCTAGGGCACCCACCAGCCAAGAAAACTGTGGGGTGCAGTGAGCAGGCTCTAGGTAGCTGATTCCTGGCAGGCAGGTCCTGAACCCCCAGGACAGCAGGTAGGGGCAAAGGGCAAAGCTAGTTCAGGTAGCTTCCCCTAGGAGCAGTGGGGTAAGCTTCCATCCTTGAACTAAAGGGCTGGGCTCTGAGCCTCTTCTTCTAGCTGCCGACTGGGCCATAGGTGACGCATGCACTGTTTCGTCAATGCATCTTTGACCTCTGACAGATGAATGGGCGCACCTTAGGCATTCCGGAGGAACCTGCTCGCGCAGGCGCCTGCTGGCAACCTCCAGGGGCAAAAGATCCTGGAGGAAGACGCACCAGCGCCAATGACCCAGGAGGAACAGGGGAGCCCAAATGCTGCGGATCCCGCCCCTGGACGCCTAGAAGTTCTCGTCTCTTGCTGATGGTTGAGGGTGTTGGGCTCCTGGGAGATGAACTTACTGGTAGAGCAGCGGCCCCTTTTCCCCCAAGCTGGACCCCAGAAAGTCAGAGCATGTCCAGGACCGGGTCGCGGCGCAGCAGAGGGAGAGCTGCTGGGGAGCAGGGTTCTTGGCCTGGCGGCTGGGACAAGAGGTAACAGGCTTTGGAATTCGCGCCTGTCTTTCCTTTGCCCTAACCCTGAAAACCCTGGAGGGGAGCGTGGCTTACAGAAGTGCAAGGACCACCCAGAGTGTGCTGGGGTGGCGGCCAGGGCAGGCAGGTACCCTGGGACCCTGCACTCCCACCCCTGGGCTGTTTTACCAAGGAAACCCAAAACTCAGCTTCTCACAAACCCTGTCTGTGAACGATTTCGCTGCTTTCTTCTCCTCTCCTAGGTGAGGACTGAGGAGGTGATCCGGCTTTTCGTGAATCTGTCCTTGTTCTCACTGTTTTTCACTTGTTGTTCTGGGAATACCACTAAACATCCCAATCATTTCACCATCTAATAAGAGTTAATCTTTTACCAGTGATAGAAAATGGAGAAGCTTTGCAGTCATATGAATTGTGCTTTCCTCCTGTCTTTATGTTACAGTTGTCAATATGCATTAATCTTTATAAAAACAGAATACGATGCCCTGAGGAGGTGGGGTAGATCTTTCGTTCACAAGTCACGCATCCAGGCAGGAGGTAATGTGTAATCCCAGCACTTTGGGAGTCCAGCACCATCAGATTGCCTGAGCCCAAGAGTTTGACACTAGCCAGGGCAACATAGCATGACCTTGTTTCTAAAAACCTTAGCTAGGTAGGGTGGTGTGCACCTGCAGTCCCAGCTACCCAAAGGCTGAGGTGGGAGACTCATTTCTTGACCCTCATGGGAACTCTGCAAAGTGGGCAGAGCTGGGCTGTGACCCACAGTTTACAGTTGAGGATGCTAAAACGGAAAGGGCCTAAGTGACTTCCCCCGAGTCACAACACTGAGGAGGGCTGTGGCTGAGCCAGGAATCTAGGTAGTTCCCTGGAGACGGAGATTCCTGAAGCCCAGAGGCCTCTGGATCATGCCCTGGGCACCAGAACCACGTCTTCCCTCACCCCATATCCCAAATCCTCTTGTTCCAGGAATGCTTTGAGGAGAGCTCCTCTCATGAGTGGTCCCTGACCCAGGCTCCTGCCTCCATGTTCTAATCCTTGATCAAAAATCTGACCCAGGTGACCTCAAACAAAGAGAAGGATCAGGGTCCAATCTGCGCCCCTCCTTCCCCGACACCTTCCCACCAGGAGCCGCCTC